TAAATGAAGTACTGTAGATACAGTGATCCAAAATGATTTTTTCTCTCCTGGATTTTATACCTTCCTCTCAGAGACAGTGCTCGTGCATTTACACAGGCTAAAGTTATAGGCTTCAAAGTCAGACTGAGGTCACAGCTTGGTCCCTTAGTTTCTGAGCTCTGTGATAATGGGCAGGTTACTGTCTGTGTCCTCATGTGTAAAGCCGAGATGATGAAAATGTGCTTTATAGAGCAGATACGGATATTGAGATAATACAAAATATTCTACACATTGCCTGGGACCTAACAAATGTTCCATATATCTTAAGTGTTGTTTCTACTATGTTACTGGAAGTTGAGTATGCACCAAGTTCTGGGGCTTAGCTTTTGCTTTCTATGCGTTGGCAGCCTAGTGAGGAAGATAAGTTTATAAACAGAGTGCAGTATAGTTCAAAAGAGTCTCTGCGTGTATAAGCACTCTGCAAGCTGAGAAGCAGGTATGTTGTACCCAGAATGACAGTGAGGGGTAGCTTCCTGCTGAGGGGAGCCATCTGTGAACTGAAAACTGATGAGTAAGTAAGTGGAACTCGGGCAGGAGCTGAGGAGGTACAGTGGGGAGAGAGGGAAGGGGTCAGTGTTGAGAGGCCAGGTAAGCAGTATATGCAAATAACTGAGTGTGAGAGATGCCTTCCCTTCAAGGAGCAGTTTGGTATGAGAGTAAGAGGGAATGGAAGAGAACAAACGATGTGCATGAGGTAGGCTGAGGTCAGGTCTTGAAGGGCCTTGCTCAAGAGCCAGCAAGAGATGACCTCAGATTTGTGCTTGAGAAAGATCATCGAGAAGTGGTGAGAATGGATTGTACCGAGATATAAGAGTAAGAGGAAACAGCTGAGAGGCTACTGCAGTCAATTATGCTAGAGATGATTCTGTGGGTCACAGCTATGGCAGTGGAGCCAGAACCTTGGGAAATCCCACATGCAAGAGGGATTGCAGAACTGTCACTTACCACTTGCTGAGAACTTTAGTTTGAAACTGCAAGTGCAGTTTAAGTTCTGCAATTGCTAAATTTGCAATGAAAGGCCTAGGAAATAACCCACGTCTATTCTTAATCTAGAATCACTTTCATTGCCTGTGCTAATTACCACAGATGATTCTTTGGAGTTTGGAATGGTATTATTTTTGTTTGATTGTGATTAAAATCCTTTCAAGGTATGTGGAACATGAAAGCAATCCTGGCTCTCAAGGAGCCTTAGGATGTAGAAATCAGAGCAGAGAGTCAAATACCTAGAAGCAAAACAGCCAACAAAATCACTTTGCATAGGGAATGCTTTTTTCATTCTTGGATTTATTTATATATTTGTAGCTAGTCAGGGTAATGAAAGCCTCCTTTGTTTTCATAATTCTAGAGATTATGCTGTGTTGTAAGATGTTATACTGCCCCCGGTAGATGAGACGGACCAGGGTTATTGATTCAACAAATACGTACTGAGCGCCCACTAGGCATTAGGCGTAAGGCAATGGATGAAGCAGACATTGTCTCTCTCATAGAGCCTACATTCTAGAAGAGGAAATAAAATGAAATATATTATCTTGAAAAATGGTAAACATTTCTTACTGCTTCAATGCTTTTAGAGTGAGATGGTAGTATAGGAAAAATGTAATTATATATTCTAATGTTTTTGTTTCTTATTTGAGAGGTTGTGTAGAGGTATTGAAAAGATTATAAGAGTTAAACTATGAAAAATGCTTAAGACATGGTGCTTAATTTATATTGGCTATTGTTATGTAATATGTGTCTTATTTTGCTACTTTTTCTTCCTTACTTATGTAGATGATTATCTCTAGAATAGACTATCTCCAAAATCCCAAATACAAGCTCCATATGGTACCCAGGCGACCATCATTGCATTGCCCAGATTATAGCAGCCGCCTCCTACTTGGTCTGTCTGTATCCTTTCTCTCTTTGCCGAATCCTTTTTCCTTTCTGCAGTCAGAGTAAAATTTATGCTCTTGTGTTTCCTATTGCTGCTATTAAAATTACCACAAACTGAATGGCTTAAAACCACATTCTCTTACAACTTTGGAGGTCAGTAGTCTCAGTTTAGTTTCACTGAGCTATGTCAAGGTGTGGGCAAAACTGCATTCTTTCAGAAGATCTAGGGAGTATCCATTTCCTTGCCTTCCTCTAAATTCTAGAGGCCAGCCAAGTATGGGACTCCTTCCTATAATTACAGTACTTTGGGAGGCTGAGGTGGGTAGATTACCTGAGGTCAGGGATTTGAGACCAGCCTGGACAGTATGGTGAAACCTCATAGCCACTAAAAATACAAAAATTAGCCAACTGTGGTGGCAGGTGCCTGTAATCTCAGCTGCTTGGGAGGCTGAGGCGGGAGAATTGTTTGAACCTGGGAGTCAGGTTGCATGAGCCAAGAATGCACTGCTGTACTCCAGCCTGGGTGACAGTGTGAGACTCTGCCTCAAAAAATAAAATAAAATTCTAGAGGCCACTCACATTCTTTGGCTTGGGGCCCTGCATCAGTCTGACATCTGCTTCTGTCATCACATCTTCTCCATGGACTCTCCTGTGGCCTCCTTTCCTTTATAAGGACTCTTGTGATTACATTGGATCCCCTTAGATAATTGAGGACCATCTCCCTGTTTCAAAATCGTTAATCACCTCCGTAAAGTCCTGTTGGCCATTTAAGGTAGCATAGTCACAGGTTTCATGAGTAAGGAAGTGCACATCTTTCTGGGTTCATTATTCTGTTTATCCAAAAACTCCTGTTAGAACATGATGAGGGAGCATTGGCTTTTACCGTGAGTGCACTCACCTGCTTAAAGCTTCTTTATGGGTGCCTATCCTTTTTTTAGGATTAAAGGTTAAAACCCCTAGGATAGGGCCTCCAGGTTCTGCATGGACCCTTCTCCTTGCTTGGGGAACTCCAGCTCTGCTTCCTCTCAACCCTTGAGGACCTTACCATGGCCTCTACTTGGACCACTCCTCTCTCCCTCACTCCTAGCACCTTTGCCTGCTTACCTGCCACCCACCCCTTGTATTTCAGTGCAAACTCCCTTTTCTTAAAGAACACTCTCAAACCCTCCTTCAGACTCTTTAGCTACTCAGCCTACAGGCTGTCCTCAACTTGGAGTTCATTCTATTTGATGATAGCTTGCATTTATTGATTGGTGTTTTTGTTTCATGTCTGGGCTTTTTTCTATTGTATCCTCAATGCTTTTTTCTTTTCTTTTCTTTTCTTTTTTTTGTCTGAGTCCTACTCTGTTGCCCAACCTAGAGTGCAGTGGCACGATCTTGGCTCATTTCAACCTCTGCCTGTTGTGTTCAAGCGATTCACCTGCCTCAGCCTCCCAAGTGGCTGGGATTACAGTCATGTGTCACCATACCCAGCTAATTTTTTATACTTTTGGTAGAGACAGTTTTCACCATGTTGGCCAGAGTGGTCTTGAACTCCTGACCTCAACCTCCCAGAGTGCTGGGATCACAGACATGAGCAGCCATGCCTGGCCGATGCTGATAATGTATTGGTGCTCAGTAAACATTTATTAAAGAAATGTGCTTAAAATGAAAAGGCAGTGCCACATGTAAAGTAGCTATTGGTTTTATTCACCAGTGTAGTCTTGTTTTAGCTACAGGCAGAATGAGGTTTTGGGTTGTGGTAAGGGTCTGTTCAATAACAAGAGGTAGGGGACGTTACTGAATAAAGCAACCCAATGTTAACCTTCATTTTTCAGTAAAGGTAATCTTTATGCAGTAATTTTCAGGCCCTTCCATATCTTTAAAAATATTCTAAACTCTTTACTTTTCTAGTATGAAAGTATAGAATCTAATAGGCTAAAAATTAAAGATTAAGTCTTTATTCAGAGTTTATATCATGGATCAGAGATAGTTGTTTTGGTCTGGGCTTTTGGGCTGTAGAATATTGAGTCTGCAGTGACATTTGTCTCCATTAGCACCGGTGTTCAACACAAATCTGCCAGACTTGAATGCAGCAGCAACTCAGTAATGTGGGCTACTTGCAGTCTGGTATGTCAGTAGGTCCTTCTTTAAGAAAATGTTTTACAGGCTGGGTGGATTGGCTCATGCCTGTAATCCCAACAGTTTGGGAGGCCAAGACAGGCGGATCACTTGAGGTTAGGAGTTCTGGGATAGCCTGGCCACCATGGTAAAACCCAATCTCTATGGGGGAAAAGAAAATAAAAACAATAGCTGAGCTTGGTGGCAGATGCCTGTAATTCCAGCTACTTGGGAGGCTGAGGCATGAGAATTTTTTGAACCCAGGAGGTGGAGGTTGCAGGGAACCGAGGTCATGCCACTGCATTCCAGCCTAAAGGACAGAATGTGACTCTGTCTTGAAAATGTTTTGCAACAGAAACTTTGCTTTGTATATGACTCAATAGAACAATTCTATTTCATGAATTGTAAGCTTTTCCATTTTACATAAACCTTATTTCTACAGTAATAATTATTATGGTTTCTCCTATTTAAGTTACGTATTTAGTAAGGCTTGTTGTAGCTAAGTTTTCCAACTTTGTTGGTATTCAAGTGGTTGGCTGCCAACTCAGTGGACTTCTTGAAAGTGACAGTCAACTGTTGGATATCAAAAGTGCTTTGAATTATTTCATTGAAGGGAAAAGTATTTGGAAAAAAGTTTAAAAGCATATTCTTAATATAGGCGATTTTCTCGTACAATCTGATACTCTAATTCCAATTTAACTTAAGTAAAAAATGGTACCTGGTGGTACTGTATACTAGACTCTTTACATATTCTACATCATGTAAAATATTCTATGTAATGTGAAACAGCGCTTTAGTATTAAATGCTCACCGATTCTTTTTCATTAATCTTTTAACTAGATGTAATAAAAATGCATGACTGACATATAGACTTGTAATTTTCAATCTCCTTATGTAAATACACCAGTACTAGTGATTCAATTTTGTTACTCACTTTAGTTGTCTAAGAATTAACTTATGAAATATATACATACTTTCTTTCGTTTTAGAGTATGTTGGATAAAGGACATCGTTGTGGCAGTAACTGGAGAGAACATGGAAGTAATGAAAAGTATTATTCAGAAGTATCAGCATAAACGCGTCTCACTGGTGGAAGCTGGAGTGACCCGCCACAGGTCAATTTTCAGTGGACTAAAAGCACTGGCGGAAGATCAGCTCAACTGTAAACTCTCTAAACCAGAAATAGTGATTATCCACGATGCTGTGAGGCCATTTGTTGAGGAAGATATCCTCCTCAAAGTTGTCACAGCTGCTAAGGAACATGGGGTAAGTCTTTTTACTTGAGACTAGTTAGAAGGGACAAACACTGTAGTGTGGTTCATTTGCTGAATTTTGATACAATTGTGTTTAAATGTCAGATTACTTAAAATGTGCATGATGACCTAAAGATGTTATGGTGATTTGTTTTAGAAACTTTATGGTTAAGACTGTTCTGGAACATATCTTTTGCTATAGTCACCTACCATAATGCGTTATGAGATATTTAGAGAAGAATGTAGTAATGCTATTACAGTATAGAGGAGAATGAAACTTTAATGAAAATTAAAATGCAGTTACATTAAAAATGCCTGAGAAATCTCTCAGAAGTAAAGGGTATATATATATAATCTGGTTCATTGTACTCAATTTTGTGTTAAAGTTTCAGAAGAGGTTTGTTTTTTAGTATATACTATATTACATTTTCATAGCCCTTAAATCATCTTGAGATGACAATTGTTTCCATTTGTTTCACCAAAATAAACACAGGATAGCAAAAGACCTATTGTAATATTTGGAGCATGTTTATTTTTTACCTTCTATTACCAAGTAAAATGATATAAATATGGTAATAGATACTAAACTTGTTTGCAGTCTAAATTTGAGACTTAGTGAAATTTATTGCAAAGCAATGGTATTGTATAATAGAAATAGGCTATGAAGTTGAACAGACCTAGGCCCAGATCTGTCTTTATAATTACTAGTGATGTCATGTTTTTAACTTAATTTCTAAGTTCTTTTCCCTACCTGTGAAAATAAAGAAATCAATACTTGTAAGGTTATTTTAGGACTGGAAATGATGTTACTATTAAAATACTAAGTGCTTAAAGTGTATTATTTTAAGATGAATTATAACATGTAAGTAATAGTTTCTGTTAAGATTATAGACCAACAGGAGGCAAGCCTTCCTAGCCATCTGGGTGCCCAGGAAGCTTTTTTTTCCCCTCTTTAAAACCTGTTTAGGAAAGACACTGTATAACTTCGTTTCAGTAACCCGTGTGTATTTGAATTGCCATAGAAAATTTTCTGTAACTTCATCTCTTCATTCTGCAACATGAATTCCACCTTAAACTTAAAACTGTATAAGAATTTTATATACCAAATGAAATATTTTCATTTGCCTTTGAACAAAAGGATAAATGGTACTTAAGGTAGTGAAACTTGTGGTCCAGGAAGCATTAAAGACCACAAAACTTTCTCCTGGCTCTTGTGCTTCCTCCTTGACTGCTTCCTCCTTGACTCCTTCCTCTTCTCCAGGCAGCTCAGTTGTGGTAGAGGCAAGGTAATCAGTTGCAAGGGGGGTGAGAAGGCATAAAGACGCAAAGGATTTACAACTTAAGAATTTGAGTAAATTTGGCACATTTGAGAAAGTTCTTAGGGATGACAATATAATTTGGTAGATGGACATTCATCCCAATGCATATTATATTACACGCAATTTTTTTTTTTTTGGCCTGTGTTACCTTTTGGAAAATTATCACTCAACCTCGCTATAATAATTGCACATATTTGGGATTTTTTGTTGAGTAATAAGCTAGAAAGCATTTCTGAGAGACTGTCCATAAAGTGATTCTTTTAGTATGTCTTAAAAGGCAAAAGAGGCCTTTTATCTTGCTCCAATTTATATGCTAAGGACAACATTGACAGGTGAGTTAATAAAGAATATTAAAATATATAGCATATTTTTTTGCAGATTTGAGGGAGTTCCTATTAAATTGTTTCTTAATCAGAATAAAATTTGTAAGATTGAATCACAACGCATTTTAAATGAAACAATTATATTTCAATGAAATCTGTAAGTTTCTGATTAGATGAAGAAGCTGATTCAGAACAAAACTTTACAACTTGTTTAAATCTCAGAAATATGGTTTCTATTAGAAACATTGCCTTGTTTTGTTGGTGTTAAAACATAAAGGGTAAAATGAATTTTATATACATCCATATTTAAGAATTTTTTTCATGTTTATTAATGAGAGAACCAGACATATGTTAAAACTGGTTCAAAGCAGAATCCAGAAAAAATTTATACAATGTAAACAGGTAGGGTGAAGCGAATAAAAACAGAAAACTGGCTTTTTCATGGGGGAGTCAATTGAAATTCCAAGAGACTGAATTTGTTTGCATGTTTATAGGCATGAATTGTTTTGCATTGCTATTGGTTATATACAACTTCGGAAGTCGTAAAACCTCAAGGCTAGATTGAACTAATCTGGAAGAGTCTGCTCTATGGTTGTTAATTGCAGACTCGCAGTAACCTCTTTGGTTTGTTTTAAATTTTCTTAAATTAAAATTAGGATAGTGTTCCAGTATTCAGTTAACTCCAGGCACTACGTCCTGCCAATTCTTTCACACTGTACAGTCTTAAAAACATAAATGCAGTTACACACTGTTCAGACTGGTTTCCAGGCCTCCTTTTAACTTACCACCTTTTGTCATCTTAGATACTTTTCTACAGACTCCTAAACTGATTATTTTTCTTCTTAGGTATTCTCAAGTTCTAGGTAAAGGTCCCTTTCAGACATATTTCTTGAAAAAGTTACACTGTGATTATTTTTTTGAGAAGGGGTAGGTTAAATAGTTTAACAATAACTCTGTTTTAACATGTTCCATTTTGCTTAATTAAAAATAAACTGGTAAAGAGATTGCTTGAAGGGACTCAGATGTCAGGGATTATGGCTGGCATTAAGGTTGTAGAGCTCAAAAGTGTCACAGTTTTTCTTTTCATCTGTATTTCATTGTCAGGCCCTGTGGGGAGGCAAGATGACTTCCAAAAGGCCAGGAGCAAAATTTCATCAGGGTTATTTCTGTCTTACCTAAATGATAATAGTTTGTCTGGGTATAAAATTCTAAGTCTACAGTTCCTCCCCTCCTCGCTACTTACAAACTAGATTATGTTGCTGTCTCCTAGCTTTTATACTGTTTTTGAGAAATCTAACCAACATAATTGTATTCCTTGGCAAGTAATTTGCCTTTTTTTTCTGAATGTCTTTAAGATAATTATTCTATCTAGATGTTAGTCTCTATGACGTGTCTAGATACTTTTTCCCTTGCGTCAGATTTACTGTCCTTTATAAACTTTGATTTATATTTTTATTCTAGAAAAATCTGAATTGTCTAATTTGAATTTTGACTCTGCCGCATTTCTGGCCTGACAACTCTTTTTCCCTCCCCTTAGGTATGCTGTATGCATGATACATTCTTACCCAGTCTTGTATGTCTTAAGTTCTTTCATATTGCTGTTTTTATATGCTGCATCCTAGGTAACTTGTTTCCTAGTCACCCCCACATTTTTTTTAGCTCTTCCTAATCTCTTGTTTAAGGGCTTTTAAAACATTTTTTGATTATTTGGAGTTCTGTTTTGTCCTTTTTCATATATTATTAATCCCCTTTCTGTTTTTGATCTTCTTTCAATCTCTGAACATAACACTTTATACCCTATAGCCAATAGCACTTCTTGGTAGCTTAATTCACTGTTGATTTCTATGTACTTTTGCTCATAATTTGTTTCCTCCTTTGTTCTGTAATTTGTATTGTAAGTCCATGTTTGGCAAGACTTTATCATGAGGAGTTCTGCTAGCATGGGATGAGGGTGTGTTTCTGAGGCATGGATTTGTGTTCCTTCTACCAGGGATCGCAAGGGCTTTATCAACTTGGAACAACTTTACATTAATTCTTGGCTTGAAGTTTTATAGATTGTGCAGTAATGTTAAATGAAACTCTAAACTCACAAGCCAAGCTGATTGTTACAGCTTCTCAGGGAAAACTGTCCCTACCCTTACAGATCCCAAGCCAAGACAATTTTGCTTGCTGTTTTCCTTCACTTGTGTTGGGTGTCTCTCCTACCCTGCACCCAACTCCCTTTTAAATGAGGACTTTCCCTTTTATGGGTCTTCGTGTGGAAATTACAGTTCTAACCAAGTAGCACAGGCTCAAGGTCTTAGTCCTGATTCTTGCTCATCTGTTAAAACTAAAGCCTCTTGCTAACCCAAAGCATCTCTGCTCTGTTATTTCCAGCTATCAGGTTGTTTTACTTAGGTGATTTGGTTGAGTCCAGACATACTCTTAAAAGGCTGTTTGTGAAATTCTCTCCTCTGTTGTCCCTCCGTCCCTCCGTCCCTCCGTCCCTCCGTCCCTCCGTCCCTCCGTCCCTCCGTCCCTCCGTCCCTCCGTCCCTCCGTCCCTCCGTCCCTCCGTCCCTCCGTCCCTCCGTCCCCCCGTCCCCCTAGTTTATCATAGAAGTCCTTAATCTTAAGTCAGAAGTACTTGCATATTTGGCATAATTAAGTCACATAAAGAAGTGGTAATGAGGACTTCGTCATAAGGGAAATGTTGGAAACAATAAAATAAGTCGGAATGTGGAGGAATCAAAGCTAAGTGAGAATAATTTTAAGAAGGACCAACATGTTAAATATTACATTGACTCTAAGAACGCCAACAGTAGCATGACTCAAATAAGACTGCATTAGCAAAGCAACCTTCTAAGTGTTTGCTCCTAGTGGAAGAAGGCATTTGCTAAGTTACTTGTACATCTTTCTTTCCTCAGCTTTATATTCTAGCACGTCCTAGTCATTTTATCCTCTTGTTGGTGATCAGTTTCTTACACACTTCTTGCCTTCCATACCTTCAGTTTATTTTACACAACACAGCAGTCTGGCTACTTTTTCCTGACTATTCTTTCCAAAACCACCTGTGACTACCCAATTCCCACATTAAATGTGCATTTCAGTTTGTTGAATAATGAAGAATTTTCCCTTATTCCAGATTCCTAGGAGGAAGACACTAAATCTTGGGAAGTTTTGAAGTAACAGGAAGGTCTCTGATATTTATTAGCTCCTTGGATCATACCTGAGCTTATGTTAATGAAATGACATGATTTAGGAAGTGGGCTGCTCACTAGAAAGATGCATAATGTGATTAGAGGCTTTGAACCAGTTCAGCCTTTTCAGTCAGGTTGGGACTTTATATAAAGATTCAGTTCAACCAGGTGGCCAGTGATTGAATCAGTCATG